AATATATCAATTATAATAATATAATAGCAATATATGTATTCATATATCTTTTCTTCTGAAATACTGATTTAGCTAGTCTCAGGGCGGTTGCCTCCCTCGGATCACGTGTCACAAACTTTTCTCCTTTCCTCTGCATCACACAGCCTATTGCCATTGAGAGAACTCTTCACTTGAGAGGAAGAGTGCAACCCCCTATATAGTTTTTCCTTCGCAATAATTATAACTTATATATATTTCTTTCATAGACATAAAACAACAAAAAAAAGAACAAAGACAAAGATTGACGCAAGAACGATGAGAAAAGCGCGAAACGAATGAAGCATATCAACGAAGCGAGACGCGAGAAAAGAAATCGACGAGATCTCACGCAAACGCGAAGGCGGAAAAAAATTCTAATTTTTTTACGCCGACTATAATACTACGTGCGCGAAATTATGAAGAAGCAAGCAAACCGAGAAAGAGAGAGCTTCATAAAAAAAATTTTTTTTAAATGAAAGAACAGTTTTCTTCCCTTCTTCTGAGATCGAGTTTGTGGGCTGAGAGCTTCAACGTAGCCGCGCAGCCGGCGAGACACCAGTTCTCCGATCGGATCGTCATCCTCACTACCGTCACCCGGATGACGATGATGATGCCGACGTGAACGATGCGCATCGACCGGGGCGCGTGTCATCCGGGAAACACGCGCATTTTCTATACGCGCAAAATGATTAATTAATAGCAGTCTAGGAGAAACGGACGCGCTTCGGGGCGAACGTGTCCATCCCGGGTTCTGTGGCTACGCCTTCCTTCGTGGTTTTTTAAGGTAATTAAGTAGATACGTGGTAAGTAATTAAAGAAAACGCGGTCATACACGTTCGAGCACGTTGCCTCCCTTGATGTCCGGCGGGCGATCCTCGCGATCCGCGATTATCTCGGAGCTACGAATTTACGGCCTAAGTCGCGACGACGACGCGCGCGCGCGCGCGCGCGACAATACAGAAATAATAATCGTGATTAATAATCGTAGCGTACAAGCTGTGTTTACATCCGTCTCGAACGCGCGGTCCTCTTTTCTTTGTTTTTTTAGTAGTCGCGATGTCGGAACACGTACGTGTGTCGAGTTTGCACGTGTCTCTCTGTACGGTGAGTGCCTATATATATATTTTTTGTTTAATAATATTACATATATAATATACAATAGATTCAAACGTTCTCACTCATGTCCAAATCACTATCCATCGTCGTCGGTTGATAGCTCGCACAAGCCACGATAAAACAAAACAAAAAAAAAGAAGGAGAGGGAGAAACGATCGAAAGGGGAATAAAACGGAGCACGAGACTGAGAGAAACACTAATCCTTCTGGTTCGCGCTGAGAAGCGCCTGAAAAGCTCGAGCGAGAAATAGGGCGCGAAGAAAGCGAGGGAAATTAACGAGTTAAAACAATCTCGCGGAAGGATCGTCGTTGGCCGTTCCGTAAAGGATCCCGCGCGCGAATACTCGATGCTGCGTGACGTAATATGCACAAACAGAAACTACATCGAATATAATAATATATATATATATATGAACCAATGATAATAATAATGATGACAATAATAATCAATAACTAATAATACATATTTATGCAATAAAATTGTCGATGTAATAAAAAAAACTTATTAGTCATAATAATGTCAATATAATATAATCGTCAGTTATATACCTATATTCAATAGAATATAATCATATAGTAAATAGAGTTAAATTAAGCAACAACATATTCATCTAT